ACAGGTCAGACAGCCTTCGTCACATCTTCGGGTGGATGTTGCTGGGTATGAGTTACTTTGGGCATAAGGTTATCCTCAGATATGTCCCAGCATGAACAGGACTGGATACTGGAAGGACTCGGTGTCCTGAAGATTTTAGCTGATGGCACCTTCTCTGTTAGAACAAAATATCACAGAAAAGATAATGCAGAACCAGAATATAATCTTCAGTGGCTTTGGCTGTCTGATATTTGTCAGTTGGCACATACAAATGGAGACTCTGGCATTTCTTTCCAGACATGGGCATATTTTCTTACGGATGCCAAAACTCGTTTCTGGAACAAGAAGATTGGAAGAAAACTACTCATAAAACCAGTGTTTTTTTAATAGTAATATGGCAATAAATGTAATAAGAATGATTTAACATAGAAAATAATACGCTATCACTGTTGAAGAACTTGTGGTCATCCTTCTGGTTTTGAATGTAGCATAGGCACAAATATTTTGGCCTAATTTCAGCTTCGAGAACTAGCAATGGCTGAACAGAAGAGATGAGAAGGGAAACATTCTTGCAACACTGCTGAAAAGCAAAACAAATATTTGTGAGAAACAGAAACAACTCTCAACATCAGTGATCAATATAGGTGCTTCTCTCTGTACTGCAGTGAAAAACTGTTTTACCCCCTCTCAGAACCAGCTCACGTCCGAAAGTACCTGCACTGCATCCTGCAGGATGAACTGCTGTGTGAACTGCTGAAACTACAACTCAGAGCCTGAATCTAACTTCTCTCGTGTATATTCTCTGAGTATTTTGACTTGATGTGAAAAAAGATACGCAAACAACTCCAACATCTAAAATTATCACAAAACAAAGCTGAAAACGGTTTGAATTAATACTGTCTTATTCCAGAGAAAATTAGTAATTACAAGTCCTACAGGAAAGGATAACATCACAAACAAATCTTCCTAGATACACTGTGAGGGATTTCCATTTGGTTGAAACAGTTTAGATGAATTTCACATTTGTTTTTGACTTTCGTCTTGAAAAGATGACAGAAAGCACATTCTTCTCTCCATTTTCTGAGTGGGAGGGTACAGAGAAGAAGCAATGGACACGAGTTTGAAGAAACTCTGATGAGGTGTGTATAATTACTAAAAACAAAAGATGATGGCAATACAGGGAAGCTGTGGCCTGCCCTTGCAGCTATCCAAAAGCTGACTGCACATGGCCCAAGCTGACCTTGTGGGATCTGCTCTGAGCAGCAGGGAGTAGACGAGATCTCCGGAGGCCCCTTCCAAGCTAAACCTGCTCTATAAACTTCTGTTACAGTGGTTTCAGGTCTTGTTACAAACTGGAAGGATGCCCAAACCCAGGAAGCAAATACTCCTTTGAGTGCAATACACAGCGCTGTACGGCTGCTGCAAATCATGCCCTTCCCTTCCTGGCTGTAAACATTTTGCTTTGTAAGTTATGTCACTCCGAAGAGCTATTAGGGTAAGATTACATGCACCGTATCTCCCAGAGTCAGATTCTCATCTGTCAACAAAGCTTACTGGTTTTCCTGTAATCTTGTGAATGTACTCTTGTAGCCTTGGGCAAAACATTTTTAGTTCATCTGCTGTTCTGCTGGTTTTGGCAAATCTGCACATGCTGCTGGTTGTGTTCCCGGTCCTGTAAACTTTGATGGCCATACACAGCCAGTCGTACTGAAGTGCAGATATTAGTAAGGCCAAGGCACTGCATGTGAGATTACACATGGCCTGCATTTGTCCATCACTTAGCATTGCTGGCTATTAACTTGGCTGTACTGAGCTGCTTACCCCTGACTAGAGAACATCACCAGCTGAATCATGTCTGATTATGCTGAACGTGTTATAAAACGCCGGTTTTGACATAAGCCCTAACTGCTGAATTTAAAGAGCGTGCCTAAAGCTAGCAGTGGGTTATTGACCAAAACCCTTTTGTCTGTGGGGACAACTGATGAAATCTGTGTGCAGACTTGGAACAAATGAACCCCTCGTGGCCAAGGAACCAATTAATTTGCAGATGATTTATTATGAAGTTATTTAAAAATATCCAGAATAATTCTGAATTTGAACAACTTCTTGAACCCTGAAGAAGTTCAGAACTTCTTTTTATCCATCATTACAGTGGCTGAGCACCACGACACAGGCAATGTATTCTTCCCTGAGGAGCAATGGTAGAGAATAGAACACGTGGTATCATAACATCAGTCACTGAAGCAAGGGCAGATCTGCCCTGGTGTAAAGGCTGTGCAGTGGATATGATTTCTTCCTGTCCCTCCTTTGCCACTGCACCTTGAAGTCCTTTCTGCGGGCAGGAAGGAGAGGCCTGCCAGCTCAGCACAGGGGCAGAGCTCCTCTATTTCATAATTGATGTATTTTGCAGAGAAGCTGAAGAGAAGACCAGGTGTCACACCAAGATTCCAGAAATGCACCTAATTTTATCTAATATATTGGGGCAAAACTGGATGATAAACTCTGAAAAACTGACTTGACGTAGTAGTATTTTTAAAGGCATCTTTAACATTAAATATGTACTCATGCAACTCTGATGTGGAAAATTAAAGCATACGAATAGCCTCGTGCAGATTCATGAGCTGCAAAGATATTTGATGGAAAAGGCTTACGGGTTTAGGTTATTCAATAAAGCTTTGGCTGGAACAGAATTAAATTAGGATATAATGACATTTTCATGTTAAAATTAAGTAAGTTTAAAAAAAGAAGTGAGAAAAAAAGTTAAGTCCAAGGCAAGGCGGGTAATCTCTGCAAAGTCAGATGCTGCCCACGGGGCACCTGGCTGTTCATTGTCTTCCCAAAGCCATGGAAGGGAAATCAGTTGCTGCAATATTAGATCATAATATAATTTCTTAACTACATTTATGAGAAATACCAGTCTTTAATTAGTAACATAAATGAATCTGGAAGAAATTATTAAAGGAATGCTGCAGAGGTAAAAATGTGTACCAGTTATCCTGATGAAATCTGGGAAAAGCTGACATGTGCGCTGCAGAAGGAAAGAAGATGCGCAAACCTCCACCTCCACCAGCTGACAGAAAGCACAACTAATTCTACCAAAGTCTCGTACGCACAGCAGGACAGCGGTGGCAGCGGGAGTTTAAGGGGCTGTGCAGTTTCTTTCTGCAGGGGATGCGATGGCTGTGATGCACTGCAGAGGGCATGCAGCAATTTCTGGCGTGGCTGCAGAGGGAGGTGCGCGTTCCCAGGCACTGCTGACGCAGACGCTGTCAGTGAGGTAGAAGGATTGCTGGTCTCATTCTGTCAGTGGGTCTGCTCAGGTGCTGATGGATTATTACAGCACGTAGCTCTGCCGCAATGCACGCAGGCAGCTGTTGAACAATTTGCATTAAAGCGGTAAATTTCTGATCACAAGGGGAGAGACTGACGAGTACCTGACAAAACGTCAGCACTTAAAGGTTTTCAGCCTAAAGCACACGGATTTATACTGATGTGGAGACAATCCACTTCCTGAAACTTGTACTTGGGTGTTTAAATTCCGTCACTTCCTGATCCAAACCCTATAGTGGGATTCCTTCTGCTGTCTGTGGAGAGCAGACATTGCCATTATACACAGCCTGTACCTGCACTGTGTAAAGGAGGTTTTCAACACGTGATTTCAGAACATCAAAAACACCCACTTAGAACATGACTTCCAATGAAAATGATGCACAGGTACCAACACTTCCAAAAGTTTGTGTTTAGGGTAAACTTGAACTTAAATTTCTTGTGTTATTAACCAGTTCTGTGGGCCCCAGATTAATACTGAATACAGAATACAGCAACCACTCTGCCCCAAGTGATTGGTAAAAACCCAGATTGTGAGAACACAGAAATAGCAAATCCCCTTTGCAGTAGGAGCCCAAGGAGAAACTGAAGTAGACGCTTTGGAGCACATTTGCTCCGGGATCACAAGCATAATTTTCCTTTGTAGGAAATGATGATGACCTTGGAGCACAGGGGACTAAGAGAGAAGCTTAGCTTACTTTTGAAGCACTTTCAGTACATTCAGAGATTTTAAAAAGGCACCTAGCGTGTTGAAATTCAGCTGTTCTTTTAATAATTTGTTATAAAATGCCTGAGGACTCATTTATACACGGAACGCGTTTGTCAGCACTTCCCTGTGCACTTCAGAACTCTGTCACCAGGCTGCTGGCTGCCGTGTCTTCAGGGATGCCGTGAGCAGGCCGCTCCCTGCTGCCCGTGTGTTCGCTCCACCAGCACGCCGTGGCTCTTGCACAGCCATGAAGTGACATGAGCACCAGGGGGCAAATATGAAAAGCAGAATGGAGAGCTTCCCTGAACATCTAAAACTTCTTTTTCACACTGAGAAAGGTGTCATTTCATTTCATTTCAGGGTATCTCTACAAGTAGGACAACTGAAGTTGACCTCCGATTCCAGACCTAAGCTTGCTGACTTTGATCCCAGACAGATCTGCAGTTTTACCTGGATTATGATTACAGAGCAATTTACAATTAGCAACAACGATCTGCCTGTAATGAATATACTTTTATTTATGCTATTAATAAATTTTGTAAAAATTAATTGTGCTCTTCTGCAATCTGTTTCTTCTCATGCCTATTTCTACAGTAAGTCAATTTAAAAAAAATCTGTTGCTTGGATTTTTCCCTTGCTAGGTTTTTCTGTGCAGGTAGCAGTGACTGACCACACAAGTGAGGCTGATGTACAGAGTGTTACCATGAAGGCCACCTATATTCATAGCACACAATCATTTTTAAGATAGCTTGAGAGCATTCAGAACCTTAAAGGAATATCACAGTTGCTGCTTTCAGTGCAAATGGAACAATAATATTCACCTGCAATGTATGTGAGAACTCACTGCCTCGGTACAATGCACAAAAAAAAACTTGATAGTGGTACAATGGATGAAACAATCTACATGAAGAATCCGGCAAGCGGGTTTGTATGGGAACTGTTGAGTTACGGCCTGAACCAGTGATTGATCACCTGAGGAAAGGACTGAGTCATCCGTGGGAGCACAGGTGAAGGCAATTCAGCTGTGTGACCAGAAGGGGTGGAACCTGGCTGCACCTCTCCTAGACTCCACTTAAGGACAGACTGCCCCTCAGGAAGGCTCTCTTTCTGGAGATTGCTGCTCTGTGGAGTCTTCCCTGCAAACCGAGATCTTTGGATACAGGTGAGCAATCCTTCTCTGCTTCTCTTCCCATTTTCACCACGATAATCTTTCCAGCTGTAGCACCAACTGTAACAGGGTGATTGTTAAAAATCAGTGGTGGCTTCAGTAAAATTAAATAAGAGTGTAAGAAGGTCACTTGGTCTCTGCTTACTAACCTTTCAGCAATCCCATCATACTTATGCTTTGGGACATCTGGTGAACATCAAGCATTAAACCAGGCAATGCCAGCATAACCTCAAGGGCACTCTCCAAAACAGGAATTACAATAGAGGTTTAAATGCCTTTCGGTCATCACTGTCCTCTGTTCAATGCAAAGAATGCCTGCATTTTAATCACTCTGCAGGAAATGTTTATGCTGGATTTCTTCTTCCGCCTCACTTCTCCCATCTGTGCTGTGTGCTCGTTAATTTAAGGGAAGCCAAAAGGGAAATTTTCACTATCCTTCAGTCTCTGCTATGCTGTTCTCCTCACTGCCCCAGGGCACAGCTGTTAGCAGCAGAAGGGAAACCACCACAAGCCCCATGACTTCCCGCACAGTGCTTCCAGCACATCACAACCTGCCCACGTGCCTCCCATTGTGCATCCACTCAGCTCACTGCTGCAGCTTCGTGCAGGGGCCGCTCTGCTCGGCCCCCACCAGCCCTGTGCTGAGGGCACCCGGCCACCTTCCCTTGGCCCACACGTGCCCACCTCACCATATGGCTGTGCTGCTGAAGAGGGCCAGCTGGAATCACTGAAGTTGCAGGGTTAGGGCTTCTCCTCTCAAGTCTGTGTCTTAATAGTACGTGATACATGGGGATATGTCAGAGTTGTGGCACTAAGGATGATTCTACACCCTCTTCAACCTGCACCCAACAGGACAGCTCCTCTGGCTGTTGTGGCCCCTCTAAATACACACCATCACGATAGCAATGCCCAGCCAGGCTGACAGTGACCAGGCTCCTCTTCCTGCTAGTCACATACAGATGCACTTTGTTACTCTTCACGTTGTTTGGAACACACTGATCTGTTATGGAAATGAACACTTCTGCTAAGCATTATGGCACTAGGAAGCCCACTGAAGCATTAACTTTTGTATTTTCATCTTCTACAGAGAGGTAAATCTACTTCTGCGTCAGTGACCTCTACTTCTTCAGCAGGAGCGAGAAACACAGAACTCCGATGTTTTCATTTCCCCAAATGCTGCCCTTCACCTCTTACTTACATACTTTTCATTAACCAGGCACAAAATGGTCTCTTGTGCTTGTAGGGAGAGATGACACAGGCAGCTAAGGCAGGTTTTAGAGCACCTAGCTTCACTTGTCCAGAACTCAGCTCATTTCAGCTTCTGGCCTCACTCTGCGGTGTCAACAGAGAGAGGCACCTCTGGGGATCTATTCAAATATTCTAGACACGTTTTAGGATGAAGCAAACGATTGTATGTACTTCTGTTAGGTAGGAAGGGAGCATGGACAGTCCAGCTGGAACACAGCTCTCAGGCATTTGCACTTGCAGCTATCAGAAAGAATCTCTTGTTCAGTTTTAGCACTTCCATGTTGTCTGCACGACTACACATTCCAGCTATGTCAGAGGAAGAGAAGTCATATATGGAAGTCAGAGTGAAGCGAGTAATGGTTAGGAAAAGCAAAATACTGGGGGTGTATTTTATTTTAAACTTTCTTTTTTTTCTATTATCCCTTTGTTGACTGTACTCTTTCCTTACTTACAGTCTCTTCTGTCTCCTCGGTTTTTCCTTCTTGATGTTACAGTTCCTCTGAAGAACCTTCCAATTTGTTTGTGCCCTTCAGTCAAATTCCAAGCCCTTCCAAATGGAGCATTTTGGCAGCACTTCATCCTCTGCTTATGGACGGTTGTTCACTCCACGGTCTGCAGTTTGCCTTCTACAGCTCATCACTTCCTCGCTGTACTTCTGGGGGACACAGCAGTTCAAGTGTTTCCTTGTGTTGCAATTCTCAACAGGCTGGTACCAAAATATCATTTAAGAAGTACTGAAATGCAACAACACCTAATGCTGTAAAGGCGATGTAAGCAGTTTAGAAGGATTATTTTACACTCCCATTATTCACTGTCCTAGAACACCCTTCTCCCAGCTTGCATTTTCACTACCATTGCTATTAGAATAAAGCCAATTGTTTAAATGATCAGAATATATGAATTTTAGCAAGCCTGCTAAAACTGAGACAAATTGTTTCTGATTCTGTGATTGTTCTTTTTGTTAGCTGCAAAAAACCAGTAACACATTTTAAGAGTCTGTTTCTTATTAAGATTTAGAATACTCAATTCTTCTGATATCTGAGCTTCAAAATATGCAGCTCAATGTTCCCTTACACCTCAAAGCTGATTTATTTGAAGAAGAAAATTGCATTAAAGTTTCCTGACATCATAAACAGCAGATGCAGTTGCTGTGTACTGTGAATTCTATTTCTTGCCCCGCTGATCTAGTGTCCTTACTGGAACGTAGGCTCTGGAAACAAAGGCAGGCACACAAGGTGTACAGTACAGATTGCAACTACAACTTGATTTTTTATTTTAATTTTTTATTTGTGTATAGATTGACCACTCTTTGGGAGGATGAAGAGCAGAAAAAAGGAACAGGGCTCCAACCCCCCATTATCTGTTACAGTACACCCAATGTGCCTGTGAAGCCCGTTTAGCACGGCAGGGGCAGCACCTTGCCACATGTGTTTCTTGGACTGCGTGAGCTGGCACGACTTACATCATTTGGCTGATGTAAGGCACCCAGTTTGACCTTCAGTATGTTGCTATGTAGTTGCTAGGGATGCAAGTTCTATTAGATAAAGCACAGTTACACATCTGTTATGACAAAATACAGAACTAGAAGAAATAATGGCGTATTTACCCAGCAACTCCTGCACCAGTTGTTTAACCTGATCTGACCTATCCATGCCACTGTGAATAGAGCAACGGCAGCAATTTCATTAATATAGAACTAAAAGTAGAATGAACAGGAGGGACTGCTCCTCCAGTAAAACTTCATATTCTATAACACTCATAGAAGAGCATACCTTCTCCTGTGCTTGTGTTCTAAGTGCAGCCAATTACAGAATGCTTCTTTTCGTAAGTAAAGACACCTGTTCCTCATTGCCACGGCACAGAAATTAGCTGCTGGCCTACTAATAAAGCTGCAACACAGAACATACTTTTCACATCTGCTTTCTGAAATGCAATGAGAAAACAAGAAGCTGCTGTTGTGTATACACTTGAGTACTACCTGCTTTGATTCCATTTGGAAAACCTCTAGTATTTCCCAGTGTCTTTAGTGGTCTTCTGGAGGTATTTTTTACATTTCAACTCTTAATTGCTTATGTTAAATGGCTCAGGAGTTATTTACAGACTATACTCGCTTTTCATAGATCAGCAATATCTAACTGAATATATTAGGCACAGGGAGCTGAGGAGGTAGATTTGTCCTGGGCTCTCTGACTTCATGTACCTTTAGCTTGCTGTTTGAGACACTGTGGAACCACTCTTGTGGCCTCTGTAATTTCCTAGTAAGGCAGTGACTTAATAAAAACCAGAAACAATCACTATATATATATGTATGTGTTTTAATTTGGGGGGAAAAGATTGTTCATGTCTTAACTAAGTAACTGGATCATGGTTTTCATGAAAACTAAGACTTGCTTAGATCATAGACTCGCTCATTGCTACTTCTGTATGCAGTAGCTGGAGTCTCTCTGTTGTTTACGTTCTAAAATCAGTTTATCTTTGTCACAGTAAAAATGAAAGATGACTTTCAACAAATAGAGAGAATGCAGACTGTTTTCTTCCCCTTTTCAACATTTCAGCTTATCAGGCCGTACACCTTTACAAAAGATGACAAGAATAGCAGAGCCAAAGCCTCTTGCACTGGCACCTCTCCCTGCACCTCAAGCTGCTAGGAGTTGTCAACACTGCTTAATATTGCACAGGTCGGATGGGTAAGGTCTCTCTTCAAAGATTTTCAGTAGCAGTAACCACGGGCAGTAACAGGCATTTATCATTTGCCTTTTGCTCAGTAATAAAGGCACAGCCTTTCAAACCCAATCATGTAGCTGCCTTTGTGGAAGTAAAGTCGACATGCAAAGTACTGTGATTTGAAGAGCAAAGCAGCAGTTGTTTACTGTCTGCTTTACTATACACAAGGCTGCGGAAACACAAATGAGTTTTGAGTTACATCTAGTGATGAAGTAAGCGCTATTATTCTGTTATCACTTCACTGTTCTTCAAAGAGAACATGTGAACTCTTGAGAAAACCTACGTTACCACTATTTATAAGCAGGAGTAGGAACCTGGGGTGTTGGTTGATGCTCAGCTGAACATGAGCCGACAGTGTGCCCGGGTGGTCAGGAGGGCCAATGGCATCCTGGCCTGCATTAGAAATAGCGTGGCCAGCAGGAGCAGGGAGGTGATCATCCCTTGCACTCAGCTCTGGTGAGGCCACATCTCGAGTACTGTGTTCAGTTTTGGGCCCCTCCCTACAGGAAAGACATTGAGGCCCTGGAACGTGTCCAGAGAAGGGCAACCAAACTGGTGAGGGGTCTGGAGCACAAGTCTTATGAGGAGCGGCTGAGGGAGCTGGGATTGTTCAGTCTGGAGAAGAGGAGGCTCAAGGCCTCACTGCACTCTACAACCTCCTGAAGGGAGGTTGTGATGAAGAGGGACTTGGCCTCTTCTCCCAGGCAATGAGCAGGACAAGGGGTCATGGCTGCAAGTTGTATCAGAGGAGTTTAGGTTAGACATCAGGAAGAACTTCTTCTCTCAGAGAGTGGTCAGGCACTGGAATGGCTGCCCAGGGAGGTGGTGGAGTCGCCGTCGCTGGCAGTGTTCAAGAGGCGTCTGGATGAGGAGCTGCGTGATATGGTTTAGTGCCAGTGGTGGCAATGGTGGTGAGGAGACGGTGGGACTGGATGATCTTACAGAATCACAAGGTTGGAAACGACCTATGATTCTAAGTGCCATAGAATCATAGAATGCCTTGGAGTGGAAGGGAACTCAAAGATCATTTAACAGGACTACGTAGTTGCTGTGAGATCTGGTCCATCATAATCCTCAAAGGAAGACATTCAATAAATCCTTCAATGGGGAACAGATCCTTTATTGGACAGATGCCAAAGTTTTATGCAGAATACTGGAATGGCATTACAGCCACTGACATTTTCAGTATAATACTGCAACAAACTGTCTATTATGACTTTTTCAGGAGTAAAAACAATTAAGCTGGCAAAATAACATACCAAAGAGACAAGGCTGATGAGGCTGCAATGCTGCTCAAATACAGCTGAGACTCAGACTGGATAAATACACTAAGTATATTCTAGGTTCTATATGGTGCGTGTCACTGCACTGTGTATCTGGCTTTGATGTTTCACCAAGCTATAAGCTGCCCTATCTATACATAAAGCATGGCAGAAGGAAGTACAGTGACCACCAGAAGTGAAAGTAATACGAACTGACTGCAAACCAAATCTTGTTTTTACCCCTCTCTTTGTTTCTCTGTAGGTTACCTACAATATTTGTCTGTTGCAGAAAACCACTGGGTTACAACCCAGACTCTGAAAGACCACAGCTAACTGTGCAACTTACGTTAGAAATGCTGTATGGCAATACTTAGTCAACTTGGAGAGAACACCACGTTCAAGTTTAAAGTAACAGCACAGTACTCAATGAAGCTACAGTTGACATTCATTGCTTACAATTTTGCCAAAGTTGAATACAACACTTCTGTACAGGATCTTTGTAGAAACACAGCAGTTTTCACTGTCTCCCCCACCTTTTCAACCCATTTGAGGCATTCTGACATACACCACAGCAGACAGCTGGACTGCAGCTGAAAAACAGAATCCTGTGTCATCTCAGACACGTATACAAAGGCTTTAAACAAAAAAGTAGGGCTTGAAGTTTGGTTGGCTTAAGATACTCAACATCAGCGAAACGGAGATATTCGTGCATCATTCCAGTTCAATCCAAGTATAATCCAGTATAATGAAGTGTGGATTATAAATGTCACACTCCATAACCAAATAACAAGACAAACACATATTCTTGGGACAGAAGAGTTTCAGGAGGCACTACAAAAGTCTGAGAAAAACTGAAATGTCAAAAAAAAGTTAAAGAAAAATTAATATACAAGTTCAGCAATAACTTTCTTCCGGAGCTTGGAGGACTCACACATACCTGCTCTATGCAGAAGCAAAATCATACACTTTCTAAACAAAAAAAGCAAACTGGTTGCCAGTACCACTTTATAATGATAACTTTCAACTTTTTCACCTCTCAAAAGGAAGCATTAAGAAGCCTTTCTTGGATAAACTTCAAGGAATTTCAGAATGCGTGTCTTTCCCTGAGGCCAAAAGGTGCTGGATTCCTATAAGTATTCTTAGCTTCAAAAACAGAAGAGGACTGAATGCATCTTGAATACTGAAAAACTAGTCACACCTGTCTATTAAAGAGATAAGATAAAAATGGATTTTGATTACCTTTCCATGAACAAGAACAAACACTTTGATAGTTAATTTCATCTAGAAGATAATAATATTATATTATAACAATATAATAATATAGTATAATATTATCTAGAAGACAATATAGCAACACATTATATGACCCTAGAAGGGATGTGTTTAAATCAATCAAGAAAATTCTTTTAGTACAGCTAGTGCAAATGCTTCTCCCTACAGCATGCTCCCCTCAAATCCTTCTGTTCCCCAAACACATGCTGCAATGTTAGAGGTATGCAAAATACCAAGTCCAAAACATCCTTTATTTAATACTTAATGCTAAGACTGTTCTTATGGGATGGAGGAATTATGGCTGCATGCTATGCTTACAGTATTTATGACCGCAAAAATCAAATCTTAATTTGTAGCACACGTTTTTCTATGTATCATCCTTCAAATAACATAAGCTTGAAAAATGTCTCAAATTGCTCTGTGTCTAGCATGGTTACAGAGAAGCCTAGATACTCACCGCTGCAGGCTTCTCAGCTCAGAAGGCAGGTCACAACCCACATAAGCGTTATTCATTAAGCTGTACTCTAACAGTGCACAAAAACAGGGATCCTACAAGAGAAGATTGATGTTTAACATAGACAGGTTACTCTGTGTAATGAACCTGCCAACAAATTAACGTGGCATGCCAATGCAGAAGATTTAATAGGACCTTTTCCATAAACAGAACACCACAAACAGTGCAAGCACGGAACAACATAGCAGGAAGACACCTTCAGATGGATTCAGTGTGTTGCACGTAGGTGTGGGGAGACCACACCTCTCATTCAGTTCATTTTATGAATACTGAAGCTCAGAAAGAACCATGCACAAGCTCAAAAAGGAGACCTTTTTAGCAGGTGGTTAATTGGGAGTAATCACTTCTACCTCTCTCCATTAAAAAATGAAAACAATGGCATCAGGTAATGCCCTCCAAGTTAGCCATTTACCATGGCAAATACCATGCATGATTCAAAGATATAAGAAGAAAAAAAAACAACCTTACTTTCATAAGAAGATGAGGATTTCCTATGACTATCAGCAAAGCTTTTGCTCTAGTAATTGCTACATTGAATCTCTTTGGGTTAGAGAGTAAGCCCAAACAGTATTCCTCCTCAGCAAGTGTGTCTTCATAAGATCGCACCTGAAAATTGATTAGAGATACAGATTCAAAACTGGAATAATGAGAAACCAACTTACTTTGTCACAGCGCAAAGCTTAATTTGCTCACTACAGCAAACCACAGCTCAATGTGAGCAATACACAGATTAGCTGAATTTTGGATTTTGAAGCTATCTAACTTACATCCCACCATTGGTTTTCCCAGAGAAGGTCTATTATCTAACAGTACACTAATATGACTTCAGCAATTTCAAGAGAATGCTATATTAG